AAGAAAATCTAGGCAATATCATTCAGGATATAGGAAAGGGCAAACAAATATTGCACGATTAAAATGTCAAAAGCAATTGCCTAACCACGCCTACTAAGCGGAGGTGTCCCCTGGCTGTCCCCAGTACTCCAGGCCCCGCCCCTGCCACACTCTCTTGAAGAGGGGGCCTCCTCCTCGGGGGCTCCAGGTTGGCTTGCCTGTGCTCTTGCCTCCCTCGTGACAGTGGTGTGTGATGTCGTCTGTGAATGCTAACTTCATCACCCTTTCCAGCACACTGCCAATAAACAGCTATTTAAGGCCGGGGGCGTGGTGCAGGGAGAAAACTACAGCCAATATCCCCGATGAACATAAATACAACATTTCTCAACAAAATACCAGCAAACTAAATGCAATAGCACATCAAAAAGACAATATACTGTGATCAAGTGGGATTTATACCAGGGACGCAAGGATGCTCCAACACACACAAATAAAAAAACATGACACATCACACCAACAAAATGAAGGACAAAAACCATATGATTATCTCAACAGACATAGAAAAAGCATCTGATAAAGTTCAACATCCCTTTACGATAAACACTCTCAACAAACTAGGCATAGAAGGAACATAAGTCAAAAGAGTAAAGACCATATACAGCCAACCCACAGCTAACATCATACTGAATGAAGTAAAGTTGAAAGCCTTTGCTCTCAGAACTGGAACAAGACAAGGAGTCTCACTTTCACCATTCCTATTCAACATAGTACTAGAAGTCCTAGCCAGAACAATCAGTCAAGAGAAAGAAATAGAAAGCATCCAAATTTGAAAAGAAGAAGTGAAACTGTCTCTTTCTGCTGATGATATGATATTATATCTAGAAAAACCTAAAGACTCTACCAAAAAAAAAACCCCACTTAAATTTGATAAATATATTCAGTAAAGTTGCAGGATACAAAATCAACATACAAAAAGCAGTAGCTTTTATATATATCAGCAATGATCTAACTAAGAAGGAAATCAAGAAGGCAATTTCATTTATAATAGCTACAAAAATATATAAGAATAAATTTAACCAGGGAGGTAAAATATCTTTATAAGAAAAACTATAAAACACTGATGAAAGAAATTAAAGATGACACAAACAAATGGAAAAATATCCCATGCTCCTGGGTTGGAAGACATGTCATTAAAATGACCATATTGCTCAAAGCAATCTACAGGTTCAATGCAACCTCTATCAAAATACCAATGTCATTCTTCACAGAATTAGAAAAACAATCTTAAAATTCATATGGAATAAAAAAGAGCCAGAATTACCAAAGGAATCCTGAGCAAAATGAACAAAGCTGGAGGCATCACTTATTACAAGACTATAGTAACCAAAACAGCATGGCATTTTTATAAAATTAGACACACAAACCAATGGAACAGAATAGAGAACCCAGAAAACTGATCTTTGACACAGCCAGTATGAACTTATATCAGGGAAGCAGCACCCTGTTCAGTAAATGGTACTGAAAGAATCGGATAGCCACACACAGAAGAATGAAACTGGACCCCTATCTCTCACCATATACAAAAATCAACTCAAAATGAATTGAAGACTTAAATATAAGACCTGAAGCTATTAGAACAAAACCTAGAGAAAACTCTTCTGAACTTTGCTTTTGGCAAAAAATTTATGACTAAGATCTCAAAAGCATAAACAACAAAAATGAAAACAGACAAATGGAACTACATTAAATCAAAAAGCTTCTGCACAGCAAAGGAAACAATCAAAAGAGTAAATAGACAATCTGTTGAGTGGAAGAAAATATTTGCAAACCATTCATCTGACAGGTGACTAATATCCAGAATATACAGGGAACTCAAACAACTCAACAGTAAAAAACAAAAACAACAACCACCACCACCACCACAACCAAAAAACCAAGTAATTCCATTAAAAAGTGGGCAAAGGACATGAATAGACATTTCTGAAAAGAAGACATACAAATGGCAAACAGGTATATGAAAAGGTACTCAACATCATTGATCATCAGATAAATGTAAATCCAAGCCACAATGAGATATCACCTCACCCCAGTTAAAACAGCTTTTATCCTAAAGACAGGCAATCACAAATGCTGGTGAGGATATCAAGAAAAGAGAACACCTGTACACTGCTGGTGGAAATACAAATTAGTATAGCCACTGTATTAGTCTGTTTTCACACTTCTATAAAGAACTACCTGAGACTGGTAATTTATAAAGAAAAGAGATTTAATTGATTCACAGTTCTGCATGGCTGGGGAGGCCTCAGGAAACTTACAGTCATGGCAGAAGGTGAAAGGGAAGCAAGGCACATCTTAGATGGCGGCAGGAGAGACAGTGAGCAAAGGGAGATGTGCCACACTTTTAAACCATCAGATCTCATGAGAACTCACTTATTATCACAAAAACAGCAAGGAGGAAATCCACCCCCGTGATCCAATCACCTCCCACCAGGTCCGTCTTCTGACATTTGGGGATTCTAAGTCAAGATGAGATTTGTGTGGGTACACAGAACCAAACCATATTAGCCACTATGGAGAATAGTACAGAGGTCCCTCAAAAAACTAAAACTAAAACTACCATGTGATTCAGCAATCCCATTGCTAGGTATATACCCAAAAGAAAGGAAATCAGTATACTGAAGAGAGATCTGCACTCCCATGTTTATTGCAGCACTATTCACAATAGCCAAGATTTGGAAGCAACCTAAGTGTCCATCAATAGATGAATGGATAAAGAAATGTGATACGCATACAAAATGAAGTACTAGTCAGTCATAAAAATGAATGAGATTCTGTCATTTGCAACAATGTAAATGGAACCGGAGGACATGTTGTTAAGTAAAATAAGCCAGGCACAGAAAGACAAACTTTTCCCATGTTCTCACTCCTTTGTGGAAGCTGAACATTAAAACAGTTGAACTCATAGAGAGTGGAATGATGGTTATCAGAGGCTAGGAAAGGTAGTGGTGGGGGAAGTGGGGATGGAAAATGGGACAAAAATATAGTTAGAATGAATAAGATCTAGTATTTGATAGCACGACAGGGTGACTATAGTCAATAATAATCTATTGTACATTTTAAACTAAAAGTAGAATTGGATTGTTTGTAACACAAAGAAATGATAAATGCTGGAGGAGATGGATCCTCCATTTACCCTGATGTGATTATTACACACTGTATGCCTGTATCAAAGCATCTTATGTACCCCATAAATATATACAGCTACTATGTACACATACAAAATTTTAAATTTTAAAAAAGAAGACATACAAATGGGAAACAGGTATATGAAAACATGCTGAACTAATCAGCAGGGGAATGCAAATAAAAACCACAATGAGATATCGTCTTATACCAGTCAGAATAGCTATTACTAAAAAGACAAAAAATAGCAGATGTTGGCGAGGATGGAGAGAAAAGGGAACTCTTACACACTTTTGCTGGAAATGTAAACTAGTAGAGCCACTGTGGAAAATAGCATGGAGATTTCTCAAAACACTAACAAGAGAAAGTACCATTTGATCCAGCAATGCTATTACTGAGTATCTACTAAGAAAAAAATCAATATATAAGAGGGATACCTATACTTGCGTGTTTATTGCAGCACTATTCACCATAGCAAAGACATAGAATCAACCTAAGTGTTCATCAGTGGATGAATGGATAATGAAAATGTGATTGCTATTTAGCCAAAAACATTTGCAAACTATTCACACTATTGGAGTGTATACATTTCCTCTTTGTATCAAATCTACCACATCAGGTAGGTATTATTACTCCCATTTTACAGATAGGGAAACTGAGGCTTGAGAAAGTTTAGTCTCTCTCATCAGGCTCACCTAGGAGACAGGAGAGAGAGCTGGGGCTGGACTCAGGACCTCTGAATGTCTGGCCTCTGACCCAACCACATTATGCTTCCTTCTCCCTTTATGGGAATTTTCATTGAATTGGGTCTTGTCTTTTTAATTTCCATTCATTTCCTCCTAGAGAGTCCTGCTTCAGAGCTCACTTTGTTGGGGTGGCTTTTAAGAGGTGCCATTCAAATAAAATTGGGGTGAGTTTCTCTCGCCATCAAGAGCCAGCCACATCCCGCTTCAGGAATGAAAGACTCATCCCTCCAGTTGCTGGGAGTGTGGCCCTCCCTGCCCACACCCAGAGATCTGCTGGCTGAAGAGAGCTGCCTCCCTAGGGTCACCCCCTCTTCTAGGGGTAGCCCAGGAATGAATCCAATGCCTCATTGCTGGGTGCACAGAGACTGGATCCCCTCTCCCCAACTCTGAGGGGCCACCCAAAGTCCAGAGCTCCCAGCCCAGTCAACAGAGGCCCTTGTTGGGACCAACCCCTTCTGCCCAGTCCTGTTTCCTTCCCAGTCTTTTGTTGATTGAGATTGCAAGGACACATTCTAGATAATCCTCATTGTCTTCATTTTTCTTGCTTCACAGCCTTCTATCCCCTCTTTTTCCCTCCTAGACATTACCTCCCCTATACCATCCCACATTACCAGCAGAGAATCATTTGGGACTCTCTGTTCCTCCCCTTCCCATGGTCTTAGGGCCACCTCATACCTACGTTGCTGCAGGTTGGCTCATCTCCATAAACGCGGGTTGGCTCCTAGGTCCTCAGTACTGGGAGCTCCCTGACCACAGGAAGGACCTCAAATAACACATTTCTGTCTCCTCAGAATGTGTCTGCTCACTCTCTGAGGACCACACCCTCCTTACCAGGCTATGGAAACATTTCCAGGCTCCAGCACAGCAGGGGTGGCCTCTGTAACTTGAAACAACCGGCAGTGATGGCTCTGGGCCATTACAATGTTTTTTGTCTTGGAAAGAATACTTGAAAATTACAAAAATTATGCAATTTCCATTGCATGCCAAAAGCACCCAAATTGCATTTTAATCACTGTACAGAGGAAGCCCTGATACTTGGCTTGTAGATTCGAATGTGTCTGGTTTTAATCAAGGCGTGTGCTGTTCTTCCAGTTCCCTCACATCGGGCTAACGCAAAAGACATCAGAATCCAACACCAGGGCTATGTTAAAAGAGCCCCAGAGTCCACACTCACCTTGGCAAGTGGAGGGGAAGCTGCCGCCCATATACAAAGTCCGGGAGAAGGTGAGTCCTGAACACTGGCCATAGCCATGGGCTCCTGTGGACCTCCCAGGGGGCAGCAAGGCTGGCACGTTGGGCCAAGCAATTGTTCCTTGTAAGAAACTGCGGATTTACTATGCTTGGACCCTAAGGGTTGGTAGTGTCCCCACCCCGTACCCTGGTGCTCTCCAGCAGGAACTACCTCCTGCTACGGACAATCAAGTCAGGCTCCTCCATGAACAGGAAGCAACATCCTTCCAGCCCACAGCTCATTAACATGCACCTCCTGCCTCCCCGGCCAATTCCTGAGCAACTTCAAGGCCCTGCAGTGGCACGAAGGAGAAGCAAGGGTCCATTTCATACCTGCCAGGGTCCCCCCGAGTGAGGCCTTGGGCCAGGGCTCTCATCTCCTGGGACTCCTACTGGCCAGATGACGGAGTTGGTCTACATAGCCTCAAAAGTCCTTCCCAGCTTTTGGCTCTGTGATCCTATACGCTTTTCCATCCTTGCCTCCAAATAAGGTGTTTTGAAAGAGAATTTTTATGACTTTCAGGAAGCTGGAAATAAGGTGGGGTTTCAAAGCCCCGGGGCTGATGAGCACGTGGATATCCTCCCTGTCCTGTATCTGCTCCATCTCGGGGGCCAGGTTTCATTGTCTTTCTTAGAGGTTACTTTGCCTCATCCATCTTCCTTCCACATCACCGGATCCCAGTTCTGAAAGCAAGCCGGGTTCTAATGTGTGCCCTTTCTCTTCCATCCCACTTTTCCAGCAAGCAGTGAATAACCAGTTCCCCTTCTCCGTGCATGACAATCGGCACAGTTTGGAGAACTCTGGATGCTACCTTGACTCCGTGAGTATTTCTTTCCAAATTATTAATAAAACAGGGAACAACACAAGGGATCTTGATTTTCTGGGGTGTGTTGAAGATAGAGGACTGGCCTCAAAACTGGAACAAGGTCAAAACAAAGCGAGATCTTAAACAAGACTCATAACAGGTTAAAAAAAATGTTGGAAGCTCTCAGAATTCCACGCCGCTTTCAAGATCTACACCAGTGTTCTGCCTAGGTGTGTGTGCACTTCATCCTTCTCCAAGTGCCTTCCCATAAATTGTCTCTTTTGCGAGCTTTCTTGTGAGGATCTGCCATGGGAAGGAGGGACTGCTATGCGTATCTCTGGATAGCAGAGCCAGGATCCACAAGGAAAGGTCAGAAGGAGGAGGAGCTTACATAATAGAAGGAAGGATTTCCTCGTGACTGGAGTTGCCTTTTCTCAGCAGGTGGTGAGTTCTCCTTCACTGAAGAACATGAAGTCTGACACAATGGTGGTTAACACAGCACTATGTGATAGCAATGTAATGCAAACTGTATGCATAATTTTAAGCGTTTTAGTGGTTACATTAAGTACAAAGAAACAGGTGAAACTTACTTTAATAACATATTTTATTGGCTGGGAGCAGTGGCTGACCCCTGAAATCCCAGCACTTTGGGAGGCTGAGGTGGGAGGATCATTTGAGGCCAGGAGCTTGAGACCAGCCTGAGCTACCTAGTAAGACTCCGTGTCTACAAAACATTAAAAAATTAGCCAGGTGTGGTGGTGCATGCCTGTTGTCCCAGCTACTCAGAAGATTGAAGCAGGAGGTTCACCTGAGCCCAGGAGTTCAAGGCTGCAGTGAGCTATGACCACGAACCCTGCACTCCAGCCTGGGTGTCAGAGTGAGATCCTATCTCAAGCAAACAAAAATAATTTATTTAGCCCAATAATTCTCCAAATTGTCCATTCAACATGTAATCAATATAAAAAATTAATGAGATATTTTACATTCCTCCTTCCAAACCGAGTCTTTAAAATCTAGGTGGTATTTTACGCTTACATAACATCTCAACTTAGACAACTCACATTTCAAGTGCTCAGTGGCTACATGTGGCTCGGGGCTACCAGACTGCACAGCACAGGGAAACCTATTAGGTAGAAAGCTGCATCAAGTGATATCTGCAAATCCTCATGGAAGCTGAAAGTCCAAGATGATGAAGATGTTATTAATGGCCCACCATTTAGAAAGCATCTGCCATATACCAACATCTCGTATTATTGTATTCAATCCTCACAACAATCCTACAGGCTCATTACACTTATCATCTCAATTTAGAGATGAGCAAATTGAGATCCAGTAAAGTTAAACAACTTGCCCCAAATCCCTCTTTCTTCTAGACTACAATGTCTTAACTAAATAGAAGTGCCTTAACCCGAAAAATCTGGTTTTCTTCTGGCAGAATGTTGAAAACAGAACCAGAATACCCACTTCGCCTGCTTCTGTAAATGGAGTGCTTAATATTGTTTTTCAAATAATCAAAGCAACGTATGTCCTTTAAAAACTGAAATAATACAGAATTGTATAAAATTAAAAATAAATTCACACCCTTATTTTCCCTCCTCACAATCTGACCTTGATGACTCACTGCTAGTAATGGTTTTGTGGGTAAAATTTGAGACTTTTTCCAATTCACATGCAAATGTACACACATAAATGTATATTTGTTAATGGTATAAACAGGATTGTACCACTTGTATTTTGCTAAGGTTATGATGGTCTTCTAGAAAACCTTGGAAGCTTTCCAACTTTCTCTATGTTCTGGAATAGCTTATATAACATTTGGATTTTCAGTTTAATGAAGGTTAGACAGAATTTGCCTATGAAATAACTTGGGTTTGATATATTTTTTAGAGTAAGTTTTTTATTACTTTTTCTTTTGTTCTTGATTATTAATCTATTCAAACTTTCTACCTCTTCTTGGGTAGATTTTGCTGATATATATTTGCCTAAAATTTATCTAATTCATTTCAAATGTACTGGTATAACATCTCTCAAAATAGTCTTATTTTGTTGTTCCTTTAAAAATTTTTTTCAGTTGAATGTTTAGTTCACATACTTGCAATTGTTTTTGTTAATAATTTATTCAAACTATAAGTAGTCTTTAAGATTATTGGTTTGACTACATCCCAAAGGTTTTTCCAATTAAGGTCTCATTATTATTTGCTTTCAAATAGCCTATGCTTTAATTTTTAATTTCCCTTTTCCTAAAAAAATTGGAAGAATGTTTTGAATTATCTATATGGTTAAAAATTTTAGAAATAATCTATTCATTGCTAATATCTAGTTTTATGGGTTATGGTAAATTTCAAAGAGTATAATCTAAGATTTTCACTTTTTGAAATATGAGATTATCTTTGTTGTCTTGTATGTGATTAACTTTAACAAGTGTGTTGTGGCTGTTTACAAATAATATATATTCCCCCATGTTGGTTACAAAGTTCTTTATATTTATTAATTTAGGACTGCAAATTATTTAAACCTTTCTCATGCTTGTCTTAATTTTTGTATTGATCTGTCAATTTCTGTTTCTAAGATTATTCTTGAGATTCTAAAGTTTTTTTGCCTATGTAGTTTAATACCATATCTTTCTGCATCAAAAATTTTTGTTGTTTTATTTTCATGATGGCTTTTGCCATTTATCAATATAAAGTGTTTCTCTTTATATGCGTTAATGCTTTCACCCATGAATTCTATCTACGTTATGATACTAGCATTGTCACTATTACTCTCTTTTTGCTAATGTTTGTTCTTTATGTTGTGGCCCATTCCTTTGTCTCCATAATTTGTAGTCACTTTGCTTTGCGTTTGTCTTCTATGATAAGTAGAATGCAGCATAGTTTTTTTTAAAAAATCCAAGAATCTATTTCTTTATGTGAGAATTTAGCCCATTCACATTATTATGACATTTTATGCTTTTGGTTTTATTTCTGCCATCTCACTTTTATGTTTCCTATTTATTATGCTTATATTTTGTTTCTTTTTTTCTTCCTCTCATGACTTTGCTAGACTGATTTTTTTTGCTCACTCTGACTTCTATTGATGTTCTACGAGTACTTGCCCTCAAGTATAAATATTTAAAAATTATATTAACACTATATTACTCTATGTATAAAAATTAGTAACTATAGCTTTTCCCCAAGAATAAGGTAAGTCTTCCAGCATGCTGTATCTCACTTCCTGCTTCAGGGCTGCTGTATTGGTGGCCAGGTTGTATCCTCCAAGTTCTGTAGGTACCATTCCTGGACTTCAGCTGGGAGCTCAGAGACGTGGCCCTCATTTCCCTAATCAAGTTGAAATCCTGGAATTTTAGTTGTAAATTCTTTTCTGTCTGTCTTTCTGTTTCCCTCCCTCCTTTCCATTTTGTGAATTTGTACAATTCAATACATTTCATAGTCACATTATTAGCAAGCATTTAGATTTCATCCATAAATTTTACTTGCTACTTCCCTTGAAGCTCTTTCCCCTATTTTCATCATGCCTTTCTTTTACTTGTTTTTCAATTTGCTGGAGTATCCTCAAGTCATTCTTTAGAAGCTGACTTGGACTTTGTGCCCCGCGTCATACACTTGTTCCTCCAGTGCCACTCTCTTCCTCTTCTCCCCACTCTGGTTCCGGGGGGCTGATCTATGTGGAGTACATTCCTCCCCAGTCCCCTCAGTCCTGGAGCCATTGCACAACCCCTCGGGGTGTCCCTACACATACCCACACATATGTAGATAGTCCCTTTATAGACTGTCCTCAAATTACTCTAATTGAAATGTGCCTTGCATCTCCTGCTGCGAATCTGACATTGACCCTTCATCACAGAAACCTCATTTTACTGATGTGAAGTCTATGTAATGTAACGTCCGTTTCCTCTCAGTCGTTCATGTCAGTATAGTGTTTTTGTTCTTGGTTTTCACCTAGTTGTGATCAAACAGAATGTACAGTTTTGAGTACACAGTAATTATTAGGTTCACATGTAAGGTGCTGAGAGTGAATGAGGAAGCCGGTGGGCCAGTACCCAAAGGTGCTGGGTCCTTCAGGGGAGCCCTTAGGGATGGGAAAGAATTCGGCCTCCTCAGACTTTTCAGAGAAAGAGTCATCATTGGTCCCACTGAGTGCTGGGGAGCAGGGAGGGTCGGCGATGTTGGGGCAAAGGGAACCTACCTGGGTCCCTAAGGTTGAGGCTGTCTAACAGTCTGTTTCTGGCTGAATTCTCTCTGGTTCTGCCTTCCATGTCTCTAAAAGCCCCGGCTCCTTGGTGGCACCAGAAGACTGTGAGGACAATAACAGAACCCTGCCAGGGTTTTGTGAGTGTCAGTTCGTAACCTTCAACAGGTTGGTAAAGGAGACCTCGAGACAGTCATCATAGGGTGCATTTCAACATATACATGTCAAGTAACTGATTTTAAGAAACACCTCAGAACTAGGTGACTGAGGCTGGGCACGGTGGCTCACGCCTGTAATCCTAGCACTTTGGGAGGCCGACGTGGGCAGATTGCCTGAGCTTAGGAGTTCAAGACCAACCTGGGCAACATGGCAAAACCCTGTCTCTACTAAAAATACAAAAACTTAGCCAGGCGTGGTGGCATCCACCTGTAGTTCCAGCTACTCAGCAGGCTAAGGCATGAGAATTGCTTGAACCCGGGAGGCAGAGGTTGCAGTGAGCTGAGATCGTGCCACTTAACTCCAGCCTGGGCGACAGACAAAGACTGTTTCAAAACAAACAAACAAACAAAACAAACAGACAAACAAACAAAAAACTATGTGACCTTGAATATTTTCCTTCTAATCTTGTAATTCTTCTCCAGGGCCTGGGACGTAAGAAGATCGCTCCAGATAAGAGGCAACATGTTTCAAGAAATTTTAATCTCTGGGCATGTGACTATGTTCCATCTTGTCTTGATGGCTTTTCAAATAACCAAATATCATATGTGCATAAAGAAGCTGTGGTGGTCTCAAGTTTCAGACGCTTTCCACGATGCTATAAAGAGATATGGAACACTTTAACATTTCTTCCTGAGCGAAGATATACAGAGTTTTTGAAAAAGAAGCCCAAGGTAAGGTTCACTATTGACAAAAAGGTTATCTCTTCACTGGAGTCCTAATCCTCCCAGAAGATTTTTGATGAATTTTTAATATTGGTATTTCATCAGACATCCTAAAAGCATACGTTTTCTGATCCAGCACTACTATTTAATTTTTTAAGTGCTTTTATGATTTTTATAAGGTCAAAAAGCATTCAGATCTTTGTGAAATAAATATGTGATGACATACACATGTGTAAATAAACTTTTCGGATGGCCACATTTACTTTTGGGGAATTTTAAAAAGTACATCCTTATATGGTCACATTTTCATTTTGAAATTTCAAACCATACAGAGGAAACGAAAGTCCTCCTGATTTCACCACATCTCCAATCCTTACGTCCTCAGAAGTAAGTTAACTACTTGTTTTTAATCTGCATTTACAAGCATATACATCTGCATTAACACATAAATTTTTAACATTACTATGTTACACAGTGCAAAATATTCTACTTTTTTCTTTTTTTTCTTTTTTTGAGACAGTCTCTGTCTCCCAAGCTGGAGTGCAGTGGCACGATCTCGACTCATTGCAACCTCTACCTCCTGGGTTCAAGTGATTCTCCTGCCTCAGCCTTCCCAGTAGCTGGGATTACAGGTGTGCATCACCACGCTGGACTAATTTTTCTATTTTTAGTAGAGATGAGGTCTCACCTTCTTGGCCAGGCTGGTCTTGAATTCCTGGCCCCAAGTGATCCTTCCACCTTGGCCTCCCAAAGTGCTGGGATTACAGGCATGAGCCACCGCACCTGACCTTCTACAGCTTTCTTTTGATACTTAATAATGTGTCTTGGAATTCTTGCAGTGTTATAAGAATAGACTGATTTTTAAAAAAATCACTACCTATATTCCCAAATACAAATTCACTCTGTTTTAAATAATTATCTTAATAGACATTTGAATAATTTCTAGTGTTTTTGCTGTTAGACACAGTGGTACATGAACGTGCTTGATCAGCCTCTCTGGATACATGTTTCCCTGAACCTCTGGAGTGGATAGACTCTGAAAAGTTACTTTGTTAATGCTTGGTTGACAGTAACGCACAAAGTGTTGAGAAATAATGCCATTGGTTTTGAAAAAGACTGGACCAGTTGAACTCCTACTAACAGTATCTGTGAATTTCTGTTTTTCCCCTTTCACATTATCATTTAAATATTTAAGGATATTTAAGGGGAAAAAAGGGACCTTGTTATTTTCTTATTTAGCATTTCTCTAATTATTAGTGAAGCTGAGTATCTTTTCCCATGCAGTGGCCTCCTCTATTTCCTTTCTATAGACTGAGCAGCGTCCCCATCATTCCTTACCAAAATTTTCTTGTTTATCTTGGATATTTTTTCTGTACATAAATTTTAGAATAAGCTTGCAAAGTAAACAAACAAACAACAACAAAAATAACATTGCCAATGTGATAGGCATCTCCCCAAATTTAGCTTTTAATTTATGGGAAAACGGACACCTTTATACTGCATCTTCCCCTTTGTTTGAATTTACTTTATATCCTTCAGTAAAGTTTATAATTTTCCTCACATGGGTCTGATGTGTTTCTTTTCCATGTTTATTCCTGTATATTTTGAAATTCTGTGGCTATTTTGAATGTTTTAGTTGCACTTTTAGATTGGTTTTGGCAGATGCATGAGAAAGCTATTGGTTTCTGTATGTGAATCTTCTACTTGGCAACCCGGCTAAACTTCTAATAATAAATAAATAAATCTTCTAATAAAATAAAAAGAAATTTCTAATAATATTTCAGTGGATTCTCTTCTGGATTTTTGTTATTTATTTATTTATTTATTTTTTTTTTTTGAGACGGAGTCTCGCTCTGTCGCCCAGGCTGGAGTGCAGTGGCGCAATCTCGGCTCACTGCAAGCTCCGCCTCCCGGGTTCACGCCATTCTCCTGCCTCAGCCTCCCGAGTAGCTGGGACTACAGGCGCCCGCCACTGCGCCCGGCTAATTTTTTCTATTTTTAGTAGAGACGGAGTTTCACCATGGTCTCGATCTCCTGACCTTGTGATCCACCCGCCTCGGCCTCCCAAAGTGCTGGGATTACAGGCGTGAGCCACCGCGCCAGGCCTGGATTTTTCTCAATGGAAAATTATATCATTTGTAAAATAATAACTATTTTAAGTCATTTCCAACATTTATATTTTTCCCATCTTATTGCATTGGATAGGACCTCAGGTACAATTTGAATATTATTACAGAGAGTATATATCTTCATTTTCTTTTTTTTCTTTTTCTTTTCTTTTTAAGAGACAGGATCTAGCTCTGTTGCCCAGGCTGGAGTGCAGTGGTGCCATCATAGCTCACTGCAGCCTCAGACTCTCAGTCTCAAGTGATTCTCCTATGTAATGAGAACTACAGGAGCACGCCACCACACTCAGCTAATTTTTAATTTTTTTTTTTATATATGGGATCTCACTATGTTACCCAGGCTGGTCTCGAACTCCTGGCCTCAAGTGTTCCTCCTCTGCTGGGGTTAGAGGCATGAGCCACCGTGCCCGGTCCTGATTTCTTTATAGATTAAGATGTTAAGCCTTCATGTCAAATATATTTCAAGTATTTTATCTATTTTGTTGTTTTTTGTTCCTCTTTGCTTATAAACTTTATTTCTCAGAGCAGTTTTAGGTTTACAGAAAAATTGGAAAGTTCAGAGTTCCTGTATACCCCACTCTCCCCGCTTATCTCCACAGTTTCCTCTACTGTTAATATCTTGCTTTGGTGTGGTATACATCATATAAAAGCCCTGCATATTTTAACACAGTAAAATGAATGAAATTTTTATTTAATGGCTTCAGGATTTCATGTCGTGCTTAGGACTTCCTTTGCTTAAGATTATTAAATAATTCTGAGTTTGTGCTATGGTTGTACGTATGGAGGGACACTATAGCAAATAATGTTCTGGTGTTTATTGAGATAATCTTATGTTTTTCTTTATTAATCTGTTAATATAATAAGGTGTATCAGTGGATTTTCTAAACTTCAGTCATTCTAGCATTCTTGGGACAAACTCTAGTTGTTATGAGGTATTATGCTTCCGATGCATTCAGAATTCGATATGCAATTATCTTACTTGCAGTCTTTTAGTTTTTAAACTTCTGCAATTATTATTTTAGCTTTCAGTTGAAGGCAGCTTTCTCTCCTTTTCTATCCTCTGACACTGCTTATATACATTGCAAATACCTATAGAATTTGCCAGGAAAACTCCTGGACCTGAGGCTGTTTTCGGGTGCAAATCTTGGCATGTCTTTTCCCTTTATTTTTATGGAGATTGGTCTGTATGGTACTTCCATTTTTTTTTTCTTTTCTAATTTTGATCATTTTTATTTTTAGAGGAAACCATTTGTTTTACATGGCTTTGCAAAATGTTGGTGTTTTAATACAGTTCTCTTTTCTAAGGCTTTTAAAGTCACATCCTGTCCTTTGACATTTTGAATGTTTACATGCCTTTGCTCCGTTTACCAACTCTACATTTTTGTTGCTGTTGTTTGCTTTTGATCTCATTAATGTATGCTTTCATGTTTACTAATTCCTTTCCTGAGCTTATTTTGATTTTCTTTTTCTAGCTTCTCAAGGTGAAAACATAACTCAATTATTTCCAGTCTTTCCTGTTTTCTTGTAAATGTAGTCAAGGCTACTCCCTCAGAATGCCACTATACATAGACACATCATGGTGCTCTTGTTATTTCTTGTTACTGTTCTTTTTTTTTTTTTGAGACGGAGTCTCGCTCTGTCGCCCAGGCTGGAGTGCAGTGGCCGGATCTCAGCTCACTGCAAGCTCTGCCTCCCGGGTTCACGCCATTCTCCTGCCTCAGCCTCCCGAGTAGCTTGCAGTTGTTTTCTTTCTTTTTATTCTTTGTTTTGTTTTGTTTTGTTGGTCTTGAGACAGGGTCTCGCTCTGTTGCCCAGGCTGGTGTGCAGTGGCATAATCATGTCTCACTGCACTGCAACCTTGACCTCTGGGGCTCAAGTGATCCTCCTCCCTCAGCCTCCCAAGTAGCTGGAACTACAGGTGCATGCCACCATGCCTGGCTATATTGTATCTTTTGTGGAGACAGAGTTTCACCATGTTGCCCAGATGGTCTCAAACTCCTGAGCTCAAGATCCTCCTATCCAGGCCTCCCCAAATACTGGGATTATCGGTGTGAGCCTCTGCTCCCAGTCTGTTTTCTTTCTTAATTCAATAATTATTAAGAAATGCATTTGATTTTTTTCTTTTGTTGTTATTTTTCATTGTCAATATTTTATTAATTAAATAATTTCTGCATTGTGGTCAGTGATTAAGATTTGTGTGATTTCTGCTTCCTGAAAATTTAAAAATGTTCTTGAGGCTTAACACATAGTCAATTTCTGTCACTGTTTTACATGTATTTGACAAGAATACACAATCTCCCTTTTACGCATTTCTTTTTTAGAAGGAATAATTATAGGGCCATAGAAAGTTGCAAAAAAATATTCTGCAGAAAGGTTCTGCCTATTTTTTACCCAGTTTTCTCCAATGCTAATATCTGGCATAACTCTGGTAAAATAGAATATTCATTTTCTATTGCTGTGCATATTAGTCCATTTTCTGTTGCTTAGAATAGGATATCTGGAAAGATAATTTAAAATTATAAATTACAACTGTAATTTATAAAAGAAACTTATTTATTACAGTTATGGAGGCTGAGAAGTCCAGAGCCAAGGGGCTGCATCTGGTGAGGACCTTCCTGCTGTGAGGACTCCCTGCAGAGTCCCCAGGGTGAACAGGATTTCCCATGGAGAGGGGGCTGGGCATGCCGACGTGCTCTCTCAGGTCTTTCTTTCTCATTATCAAGGCACCAGTCTCCCTTCCATGATAACCTATTAACCATGGATCCATGAATGGATGAATCCATTTGTAAGAACAGACCCCTTATAACCCAATCATCTCTTAAAGGTCCCGCCTCTCAATGCTGTCACATTGGAAATTAAGTGTTAACATGAATTTGGAGGGAAAATATTAAAATTATAGTACTGTGTCACAAGTGACTACAAATTTAGTGGCTTATAACAAAACTACTTAACACACAGCTCTGCAGGTCAGACATCTGGGTGCACGTGGTGATGTCTTCCGCTCAAGGTCTCACAGGCTAAAATCGAGGTGCACTCTCATCAGAGGCCGGGGGTTCTCTTTCATGTCTATGTGGTTGTGGCACAATTCAGTTCCTTGTGGTTGGAGGACTGAGATTCCCTGCTTCCTCATTTGCTGTTAGCCAGGGACCTTCTCAACTCCTATGAGTTGCTGCATTCCTTGCTACATGGCCCCCTCCATCTCCAATGCCAGCAATGGAAAACCTCGAGTGGAATCCCTCACACATTTTGCAGTCTCTTTCATGAGGAAGAGTTTGGTGCCCTTTTTAAGGGGATCACCTGATTGGGCTTGACCCAACCAGGATAACCTTCATATTTTAAGGTTGAGACCTTAATTCATCTGAAAAATCCCTTTTGCCATATAACATAACATAATCATGGAATTGATACGACATCATATTCACAGGTACTGCCACACTCAAGGGCAGGGGATTATACAAGAGTGAGGTTCATTAAAGGTCATCTTAGAATTCTGTGTGCCACAAATATCATAACCAGGAAATTGATGTTGGTGCAATTCACAGGCCTTATTCAGATTTTCTTCACAGTTTTACGTGTGTGTGTTTTGCTGGCTATAAAATTAGATTATATCTAGCTTCTTAATTAGCTAGTCATGTCTGACATTTATATAACATGCACACTTGGGAATTAGGTAGGGTATTTCACTTTCAGTATTGTCTTTTTATTTTCCATTTTCTTTTAGTTACAGAATTTTTTTTCAGTTATATCTCTGATTATTTTCTCTACTCTATTTTCTTCGAGAATGCTTCTTAGATGGTTACTTAAATACCTGGCTCTATCTTTCTCAGCTCTCAAGTATTCCTTTATATTTTTTGTCTACTTACCCATTTGCACTGGTTTCCGGGAGAATCCCCAAACTTCATCTTCCAGTTTACTAAGTGGCTCTTCAATGATCCATTCTGCTATTTAGCCAATCTATAGAGGTTTTCCTGTAACCAAACAACAGTTTAATTTCCAAAGTCTCTATTTGGTTTTTGTTTGTGGGTGTAATATTTGATTCTGCCTGATAATGATTTTACTTATTTCTGTAGCTTGTTATTTTTCTCCACCCACTTTGCTTCCTTGGGTATTGTGTCTATTTGTCTTTATTGCATGGTGCGAACATTTTGTGACTTGATTTTATGCTCATGTTGGTTTTTTTGGTTTGTTTGTTTGTTTTGTTTTTTTAGGTGAAGTCTCGCTCTGTTGCCCAGACTGGAGTGCAGTGGCAAGATCTGGGCTCACTGCAATCTCTGCCTCCTGGGTTCAGGCAATTCTCTAGCCTCAGCCTCCTGAGTATCTGGGATTACAGGTGTGTGCCACCATGCCCAGCTAATTTTTGTATTTTTGTCTTTGTTTTTCTGTTTTTTTTTATTTTTGAGATGGGGTCTCACTCTGTTGCCCAGGCTGGAGTGCAGTGGTGCGATCTCTGCTCACTGCAAGCTCCACCTCTGGGGTTCATGCCACTGTCCTGCCTCAGCCTCCCGAGTAGCTGGGATTACAGGCACCCACCACCACGCCTGGCTAATTTTTTGTATTTTTAGCAGAGACGGGGTTTCACCATGCTAACCAGGCTGGTCTCAAACTCCTGACCTCAAACGATTGGCCCACCTCAGCCTCCCAATGTGCTGGCATTACAGTTGCTTTTTGAGGATCCTTGATAGCTCACCTGTGAGCAGTATATATGTTTTTCTCACACTGTCTGCATGAGGGTCGGGGAGAGGCAGAAAAGACTGCCCCAGATGTGGCCACTAGCTCCTCTTCTGGGGAGGGTCTCCCAGTCTGTTTACTGCCACATTTCTGGGACACTGCCCTGCCCTCCTGACCCAAGTGATAACTGTCAATTCATCTACTTTGTCACTGACACAGATCTAGTTCATCACTTTGCACAGAGAATGTGCTGAGGACTGCCCTGGCAGAGAACCTCTGTGAATAGCCCTGTCAAATGCCCTGGACCATGCCTCTTCTCAAATTCACTGCCTCCATGCCAGCACCCCTGGAACAGAGAACATTTGTAGCCGAACTGACCTGTGCCCAATTTGATCCTGTCTATCTTCCATTACTTAGAAAACTGGGATCACTTGTCATAGATAGAAGCCAATCTAAAAGTAAATAAAATGGAAAAACCAACCAACCAACCCACCAAACAACCAAACCAACCAACCCACCCACCCACCAACCAAACCAACCAACCAGGACGATTAAATTCCAGCTGGACTTTGTTGCCTCCTAAAGACCTCTTGCCTGAGGCCTGGTCTTGGTTTGTTGAAATAGGGAATTAGTAAGTATTAGACAGGTGTTGGACATATGATCACCAAACCCAAGATTTTCTCCTTAGCCTAAACAGAAGGTTTGAAATAGAATAGAAAAAAAAGAAAAGAAAAGAAAACACCTTTCTTAACATGTAAGTCAATATTATTTAACGTTGCACCTGGCAGCTACCTAAACTCCCTCCCATACTTTAGGAAATACAGGCTAAGGGATTTTGTGGTCACTAAAATGAAATCTTAAAAAATGTCACAAATAAAGAGAATATCAAAAGACATTTCACATATATTAAATCAGCAAGCATCGTAGTTTCCATTTTTCATTCCTTTTTCTGAGGGAATCTTGGTAGCTTCTCTCCTGTCCTCTGTTTCAAAGAGACCCTGTTTTTGTTGTGGTTTAACAGAATGCCGTTTAACAGGCAGGTTTGTGACATCAGAGGCCTGCAATGTGCATAACTCTCAAGCTTATATCTGACGCGCAGGGTTACGTGACTTTATCTCTGTCTGTGGGAAGTTCTCTGCAAGGCCCTGTCTTTGCCTTCGATATGTAGGAGCTTTGTTCTCCACCAGGTGCATTTTCTTTTCTTCTCCCAGGGAGTCCTCACAAAATCCTTGCTTGTGGAGCCTTCTGCCTCTTCTCTCCTTTCTCTGCCTAAACACCAACAGTCCCTAACAGGAGTGACACAAAATTCAATTTATGGGAAGTGAAATTCAAAAAATTACCCAAAAGACATACAGAACCAAATCTGCAATTATGTGGAGGGACACAGAGATTGATGAGTGGGAAAGGTATATTTACCACCTATGGAAACACAAATTAGATAACCTCCCCTAAAAACCAGTCTTTCTTAGCAGCTTTCTACAAAAGAAATAACACTGTCCAACCATCTCACAATTCTCAATCCAGTGAGTCAAAAACAAAAGGATACTGCACAGGAATGGGGGGGTAGGTCCTGGGAACTCTAGCGTAGATGCCCCCAATACAACAGCCCACTTTACAAAACTAAAAGTCTTTGATAAATTGGCACAATGTCAGTGACTTGCTGTTGTTGGTTCCTTGTTTTAACGTGTTGTTCTGAACAGAGGAATAAACAGCCAGTTAAAGAAACCCCAACTTACTAATCAAATACATGAAGGTGTTTATAGATTTCTTCTGTTTTAATGCATTAGAGTTGGACTTGTGCCATCTGAGAGATGACTTAGACATTAAAATGACACCCGGGGGTAATAACGTTTCATAGCGAGGCTGTCTAGTACCCATTCTAGACCCATACTAGGAATCTTCAGTCACTGTTCGTGCATGTAGCAGGCATCTGCATATTGAGTATCTAATTTATATTTGCAAAAATCAGATGTAAAGGCCCTCAGACATGATGGTTAGAAGGGCAAAGTGATCATTTCCTATATGAAACCAACTTTTAAATGCTGCCTATTTTTAGAGAAGTGCATTCTCATTTGGTCTGCTTTAGCATTTAGGACCATGACTTAAAAGTTGCCTTGTGCCTTCTTTTTGTTAGAGTATCTTGTGGCTGCCTTTGGCCAAAGCCATTTCTGTTTGGGTGGCCAGGCACGGGAATCAGGTGTTGTGACATTTCTCCTGCCCTGGCTAATTCTACAGCCTTTCTAGGAACAATTTCTACGTTGCAGTTTAGTGGCCAATTGCAACTTCAATCAAAGTTCGGGACCTATCACAGCTGGCCTACAGTTCAGGAGAAAAGGACATTTCATCCCAATTAATTTTTTATTTTTTCACCTACAGAAAAATTGGTCCCATATTGAAGATTCCCGGGGGAGGGGGGAGAGATGGGTGTGGGGGAGGAAGGGTTGAAATGATGAGCTAACTATAGGCTTCCCATATGTTCTGTTGAGTACAGGGAAGAATCCATGCTGTTATGGTAACACCCTAAGAACCACAAAACAAGCAAGAAGAATCAATTTTCTCCTTTGGGCTCTTTGCTGCCACCCACAGTCTTTGGTCCTAGCATGGCACTGGGACCCAGTGTTTTGGAAAGATCCCCTTCAGCTCAGCTCTGCCTTGGCAGTAGCCCTGTCTTCTAGTCCTGCCTTTCTCTGGGTTTAACAAACCTGGCTGTTCCCAAACACACAGGGCAGTCATTGCGCTAATCCTGGTGCCATGTTGAGGATGGGAAAATGCTAAGTGTGAAGTGCTGTATATTGCCTTTATAAGTACCCATCAAAACAAACCAAAACATCTCATTTAACACACGGTATTTAAGTAAACATGTTACGGCTATACCAAAATAATCCCCCCAAATATTAAACAACAAATCAACCCCCTGTCAGAGCCTGACTCACTGAATAAATGGAATGAATAAAATTGTAACTCACGCGCTTGACTACGGCTCTATGAAATTGTTGAATCTGTTAGGTGTAGCGTGTGATTTCCGCACAGAGTAACCGAAATAACCTCAAATGCTTTATTCTCTCTCCCAATCGAAATTAAACAGATCTGTAAGTTCCCAAATTGGGTAATACAGGCACAAGAACACAAATCCTATTTTCTTCCCTTCTTCCTCTCCTCCTGCCAAATAGGAGCTAGCATCAGAATATTCAGTCCAAGAACAATGATTTCTACTCCACTTGGGCACTGATCTGGCTGCAGCATCTGCAGGGGACAGTCCCAGTTCCGAACGGAAAGAACAACTTTGCTCCTTATCCACGTTCCATATAGCTACTGACAGGATAATAAGTGACCATAGCGGAATACTACGCCTCCTCTGCTGAGAACACATGGTTGTAATTCCTTTGGCCTGAAGGAGAATCACTGAAGCCATTTTAAACATTCTTTTGTTGTTTATAGCCTCTGTCTAAGATTCCATGACCGGTATCAGCTATGAGTGGCATATCCAATCCCTCTCCAACATCTGCCGTTATGGTTCCCAAAGAGGATTGAGAAGTCTCAACATAATCCCACAGGAGAAATCTTATTGTTCCTCCAAAGAATATTTTGTATTGAAAGCACTGCCTCATATTCATGACATTCTAGATGTTTAGAGAAAGGATTTGACTCTGCTGGATATCTTCAATCAACCAGGAGAGTCTGGGTTAAAGCAATCATGTTTGCCAACTGAATCTGGGCTGTTTTACAGCTCACTCCTCAATATGGCCACAGTCCCTCCCACCCTCAGCCTCATGACACACCCCTCCACTCTCTATTGCCCCATTCCCTTTGGGACAGGTGATGTAGCCACAGTATCATGTGTATTGGTATGAACACGATGTAAGGCATGCCCAGAGACCTTACGTATTTACTCATCATTTGGTGACAATTTTTTTATCACAGCCCTACCTCTGTGTTAAGTACTGTGCTGGCTTCTAGGGAAACGCATGGGTAATAGACCCCAGTGCTGCCCGTGGTGCATCCAGCATAGACCGTCAGGCAGTGAGATGCAGCAGGCCCCTTGCAATAGCCGAGATTTGGAGCTAGGGATGCTGTGTAAATGTGGATCAGGCAATGAGACTTTGAAAGGTCATCATTATAATTTTATTAAGCTGTGACGAAAGGGAGAAGATCAATGTAGAAATGTGTTTAGTATTGCATACATATGATCTTACGGAACAATTATGAATTTGTGTTTCTTGTGTACATTAAAATTTGGATATATGTGTAAGAACAAAAGCTGAATCTAATTTTTTATCTGACAGATAAGGAATTGATTTGAATTCTTTCTCTGCTAATTAAAGGAAAATTAGAAAACGAGCTATTTACTAAAGCACTAAACACATTTTGATTACTTATGGATAAAGGCAGTTGTTTTGGCTTCACTTATTTATTTACTGAAAGCCTAATGATAGATAAAACGAAGAATTAATAGTGTAATAGAGAGGGATGATGGGTTTATTCAGCAGACGGAAGGAGGGTGATGCATTTCCACCTTAGAGTGGAGAACATGAAGTCTCAGTGATGCTGATGGGTGACGTTAGGCTTCATGCAGCCCCTGCTGGAGTGCACTGACCTGCACACGGACACGGCAGAGGGATCAGGTTGGGGTAGCAGGTGAGTGTGGCTGCAGACCAGCTGAGTTCGAGGTGCCAGGGGAGGCAGAGGGAAATCTCTAGCTGACAGCTGGGCACGGTGGCTTAGCTCAGGACTAGACTTATAGAGAGGAGATACGGAGATAGCTTGATGGAGAAATAGAGTCAGCAAAATTTGTTTGTTTGTTTGTTTGTTTACAACAACATAAGTTTATTATCTGAGAATTCTGGGGTCAGAAGTCCACAGTGGGTCTCACTGGATAAAAACCAAGGTGTAGGGCTGGTTTTCCTTCTGGGGGTTCAGGGGGAGTCTGTTTCTTTTCCCTCTCCAGCTTCAGCGTTGCACTGAGACTTTCTCTCACTCCCATCTCTCTGCTTCTGTCTTCTGAATCCCTCTCTCTTCTCTCTTTCTCTCTCTTTCTGTTTTAGGATTTTTTTTTTTTTTTTAACATAGGAATGAGTGGTGTTTACAGACCAAGGCAAAGAAGGGAATGGGAATGCCCAGGCTGAGGCTGCCTGAGGATGGGGGAGGAGAGAAGGGGAGCAGGGGCAGCATGGGGAGGGGCCTGCACCTGGAAGGGAGACCCACTTCTGGCAGTGGGGGATGAGGGTGGGGGAAGGGGGTGTCACATGACTCAAGTGGATGGGAAGAGATGAAAGAAACTTGAGAGTGGGGAGGGAGGCAGTTGGGGATTTCTCTGGAGTGTCTGAGGGAGGCGGAGAGAGGTCTTCAGCTGAGAATGAGGCACCTGAGATGAAACCTGGAGGAAGATGGGCAGCCTGTGGCATCGTCATTTCAAGAGAACGCCATAACCGAGAGGAAGCTGGACGGAGCCCGGCAGCAGGGTGGGGGTCTGGATTTGTAGAGGTTTGTGGTCCAGCTGTGGGATTTTTCCAAGAGAACTCAGCAGCTCAGGAGTAGGGGCAGGAGAAAATGAACACTGAAGTGGAAATCGTTCTTGTGGGGAAAAGCAAGGAGACTGTGCCATGAGATGGATGGGAGCAAGGTTCTTGAGGCCACTGCCTGTCAAGTCTCCTGGGGAGCCCACCACAGGGGTCCCACTGGACCAGCTGAGTCAGGTTCCTCAGCATTTTTGAAAAGCTCTCTAAGTGATTCTAGGGGCAGCCAGGGCTGACAACTGCTGGGAGGAGTGGGGGAAATGTATACCTAAAAGACGTGAAATCAGGATCTCAAAGGGATGTCTGCACTCCCATGTTCACCGCAGCACTGTTTGCAATGGCTCACATGTGAAACTGACCTGGACATCCAGTCAACAGGTGAACGGATAAAGAAAATGTGGTACATACATACGGTGGAATCTCATCTAGTCTTAAAAAGGATGGAAACCCTGCAGTCTGCGACATGAACAGACTTTGAAGATCTTATGTTAAGTGAAATGTCAGACACATAAGAACACACACTGCATAATTATACTTTTTTTTTTTTTGAGACAGGGTCTCACCCTGTCATTCAGGCTGGAGTGCAGTGGCGATATCATGGCTCATTGCAGCCTCGACTTCTCAGTCTCGGGTGATCCTCCCACCTCAACCACCCAGGTAGTTGAGACCACAGGTGTCTACCACCACGCCAGACTAATTTTTATTTTTTAATTTTTTTGTAGAGACAGGGTCTTGCAATGTTGCCTCGACTGGTCTCAAACTCCTGGGCTCAAGCGATTTGCCCGCCTCTGCCTCCCAAAATGCTGGGATTACCAGCATGAGCCACTGCACCTGGCCTATAATTCCACTTATCTGAGATGTTTAAAATAGTCAAATTCATAAAATCAAAGACTGGAATGGAGGTGACCTGGGGCCTGGGGGAGGGGAAAATGGGGAGTTATCCATCAATGGGTATAAGGGTTCATTTAAGTACGACAAATAAGCTCTAGAAATCTCCTCTACCGCATTGCACCCCCAGTCAACAGTAACGTATTATACACTTAACATTGAAGAGGACACATCTCACGCTGAGTGTTCTTAGCTCACCCACACACAAGTACACCGGCAGGGAACTGAGGGTGAGAGAGACGTGACCGCAGAAAGTGAGAACTGGCCTGAGTGGGGATGGGGGCGGGGGCTGAGCTGGTTGGGGGACTGGCCTGAGTGGGGAGGGGGGCGGGGCTGAGCTGGTTGGGGGACTGGCCTGAGTGGGGAGGGGGGCGGGGCTGAGCTGGTTGGGGGACTGGCCTGAGTGGGGAGGGGGGCGGGGCTGAGCTGGTTGGGGGACTGGCCTGAGTGGGGAGGGGGCGGGGCTGAGCTGGTTGGGGGACTGGCCTGAGTGGGGAGGGGACGGGGCTGAGCTGGTTGGGGGACTGGCCTGAGTGGGGAGGGGGGCGGGGCTGAGCTGGTTGGGGGACTGGCCTGAGTGGGGAGGGGGGCGGGGCTGAGCTGGTTGGGGGACTGGCCTGAGTGGGGAGGGGGGCGGGGCTGAGCTGGTTGGGGGACTGGCCTGAGTGGGGATGGGGGCGGGGCTGAGCGGGTTGGGGGACTGCCACTGATACAATGGTGGGTCACAATGTGTGGGGTAGACTTACAGAACTGGAACACGGGTTTAGAAAGTTCATATTTGTGAACTCATTTGGAACTTTTACGAAGGTATCAAAATTGAATCTCATTTGGTTATTCATTTAGTGAGTCATCCATATAAAATAATTCAGCAAACAGTGTGTAAACATTTGAAGGCCACGTGTGGTGACTCATTCATGCCTGTAATCGCAGCACTTTGGGAGGCCGAGACAGGGGTATCACTTGGGTCCAGGAGTTCTAGACCAGCCTGGGCAACATGGCGAGATCTCATCTCTACAATAAATTTTAAAAATTAGCCAGGCGTGGTAGTGTGCACCTGTAGTCCCAGCTACTCAGGAGGCGGAGGTGGGAGGACGGCTTGAGCCCAGGAAGTTGACACTGCAGTGAGCCGTGATTATGCCACTGCACTCCAGGCTGGGTGGCAGAGCTTGACCTTGTCTCAAAAAACAAAAAAATGAAGTGTCCTAGGAATTCAGGCTGCCCAATCACCAAGCAGACAGGTTGAAAGAGCCCTGGATGGCTGGGTTCCAGTCTGGGCTGGAAGTGGAACCCACCATCCCAGTTCATTTAAACCATTAACTGGGCACTGGCTGGAGTGAGTGGAGAACAGGAGAAACTGTGAGAAAGCAGGCAGAGCCCCAAGGACGTGAATGGACACAGTGATGTTGCTGAGTTCTCAGGCCAAGAGGATGGCAGTGCTGGGGGACAAGAGAAAGCTGGTGCACTTCCCCCATCCACTGTACCTTCGTGCCCCAGCACGCGATGCCCTGCCTGGTATGCAGAGCACTGTTGCAGGGGAACTAGCAAACAGCATTCTGAAATGCCTTTGCCATGGACAGTTGTCAAGGCTGGTCTTGGCCTACTGATTGAGAGGAGAGCTTTGGTGCCCAGCTCAGTTACTTGATATCTTCGTGACCTTGGGCAAGCTACTTCTAAGTCTTAGTTTTCATATCCTTCTATTGGGGCTAATGATAGGACCTACCTTGTACAATTAAGGATTGCATGAGAAAATGAATGCACAGCGTTTTTCAAAGTGCTAGATGCAGGGTAAGAGTCTGGCTACCTAGAAGATTCCAATGGCTAGTCAGTGAGGCCTGCAGGATGACCTTTCTGGATCCCTTCTAAATGCAAGGAGCGACGTGGTGGTGCCCGCTTCTTGGCAAGACTCTTGGCTGTTAAATCTTTACAAAATCAAGTTCCTAGTTACACTTCTCATGCACTATCGGTAGATTCTGCTAGTTCCCAGGAAACCAAGGAATGTTAGGTTAGCAGTGGGTCTGGTGTGGCCTTAATCCCTTTCCCTGCCTTGCTTAAGGGAAGACCTTGTCATTCCATCCTGGCCCCAGCTGGAGGAAATGTTACCTTCTTCTCTGAACTCCCTCACAGCCCCGAGCACAGCCCACTTGTGTGTTAGGCGTCTTTGTACAGCTTCATCTTCCTCCCAAACTCCATGCCTTGGGGACAGGGGCTCACCATCCATCGTTTCACCTTTAGCTTGCCACAGTACTTCATTCTCTCTACCCTCAATGATGACGTATTGCACTAATGGACTGGTGGATGTTTTCAACACAGCCAAACACTAAGCCATTGTTTGCAGATCTGGGCATTTTTTAACCTTCTGATTTTTAACAAAATGGGCGCTATCCATTCTAGCAGGCAGCAACTATCATTTTGTTCTACAAAGTTGCAGCACGCAAGCAAAGATGTGTCTGCAGAAATGATAACATTTTACCAAGGCAGAAAAGAACGCTTCCGTTTTTCTTCTGAGAAGATAGAGTCCCCTTTGTTATTTATTTAATAGCTGTGATCACAGGGAGAGAAGATAAGAAGTTTGCTCTGGACTAAGCAGATGAAGAGATGCATTTCACAAGGAAAAGTGCCCAAAGCAAAAACTGCTCCCCCGTCAGTACTTAAAAACTGCTCCCCCGTCAGTACTCGGATCAAGACTAACAACCCCAGTGGGCTCGCAGAGGAACTTGTCATAACAACATACCGTCTCCAGAATGACATCAAATGTGTGGAGGTAAATGAGGTCAGATCACCTCCCCTCCTTGGCATCAAAGAGAGATGTTGCAGAGTTGGGACCTGGCTTCTGCTGGCTCTGCAGAAGG